TAAGGCCTCAAATCGATTTTACTTCCTTAAAAACATCTCCCGAGTAACCTAATTTTTCTAACCAATTCCTTAAGGAAAAGCTTGCTGTTGTTATTTAAAATATTACGTATGGAAAATAAATATGGCATTACAACTTCTTTTTCCCCAATTTCCCAATTGTTTGGTTTTTCACTGAGTGCGAGTGTCAAGCCCTTTCTTGCTAAGATGTAAATATGAAGTATTAGCTTATATATTAAGAAATGAAGCCTTTGCCTATAAAATATATTTCATAGCAATCGCTGCGAAAACTATTGATGATAGAACAAGAAAAAATGTTACACAATTTTCAAGAACATATCAATATCAACAAAAAATGTTTAAAAAATTAATGTCCACCCGTACGAAGCCGGTACGGGCCGCTAGTATGTAATAAAAACCATTAGGTAAAGATATGTCCAAAGATGGGTCTATTTTATATATAAAATTAATCGTTCGTTTGCCTCGCATTCATGCCAAAACTCATTTGGCTTATTATGATCTTGAAATATTGGTGGAAGTTCAGGGAAGGATTAAACATTAGAAACGTAAATAATAAGCAAAGAAAAATACGTGTCTTTTTAGAAATAAAAAATTGTCTCTTGGTTGTCATATACTTATAAATGCCTTCAGAAATTTTTGTTTAATGCTGTATGAGGTCCGATCTCTTTGGTCTGTTTTCAAAAAATGTATTAAGTTTTGACTTAAATATATACGTATGTAGGTAGGTGATATGGAGTTCACCGGGTCATCTATTACATAATATATATAATATATATCTAAAAAGGTTCAAACATTCAAGGAAAAAAAATCTATAAAAATAAATTATATATCTACTCGTACATTTAACTAAGTATACCTAATTTGGGTGTGTTGTGTCACGTTGCTGCTTATTTAGCGCTATGGATATTCTTAATACACATGTAGTAGTATAAGAAAAGGTTCGGTATCTCAATCAGTTTATCTCTAGGCAAATCGGTGATAGTCCTTCGTCGACACGTCGTCGATTTTTCGGCCTGGTATGCCGATTTTCTCACGATTTTTATTCACAGTAATATGTCAATTGTGTGATAAAAAGAAATATTGGCGCGCACTTAACTCTTAAAGATTATTTATTATTCTTCAGGCAGGTTATAAGACATAATGTAATATTGTGTTTATTAATTCGTTCCTTATGCCCGACGAGGTGTAATGCAGTTACAGACATTCTGTACAATTGGCAATTCAAAGAATGGCAGAGAGTTTCTTGCCAGTTCTTGTCGTTCTACGTCCATGATTCAAGAACTGGCTGTAATAATATACTTAGAGACGTTAACGTTCATACGGGAACAAAAGTAGCCTATATTATAAACGATAGTAATTAGCAGTAAATATTTAATTTTCTTCTCAACTCCATCCAAATTCATCGCGATATTTAAAAGTATTTTTAGGTGTAATTAAAACATCGCCGTCCCAATTTATTGTTCTAAAAACGTGCCCGTAATGTCAGTGAAAATTATATTTTCCTTTGGCCTTTTAATTAACTGTTAAAATCAGCAGTTTCTATATATATTACATATACCATTTACATAAGGTACGTACTATTTTTAGTTTCAAATTAATATTTGTTTTCTAGTATTGCAATATTCAATGTTTGGTTTTATATAATATAATTTCCATATAAATTTACGCAAGTATTAAAAATTAAATTTCTTTAACGGGAATCAATTGTTTACACTCGAGATTTCAAATGCTTTTCAGTAATCGTGGTTAGTCTAACTTTTTAAAAATATTTATTTACGAAAAGAAATACCTATTATACGCAATTAAAGGACATTTAGTGAACTAGGACTCCCAGTGTCGTGGGCAGTAATCCCTTCCAATTCACATGTTTAACGGTACTTGATAATAATTTCTACATTTTATATTTAAACTATTGTTGCACAATAAGAATATTTTACGTTTCAGCATAGGACAGATTGTTAAATTGAATTCATTTAAAAATTGATAACCTTTTTAATTGGTACAATAATGATGAATACAAAGCGTGACCTTTCTTTTAATAGAGCTTCTAATCCATTTCTAATAGCTTACTAATGAGGGAAAGGGTAAAATTAATTGCTTTGAGCTTGGCCAATTAAAAGCTAAACAAAACATCATAACTGTAGATAACCCTAATTATGTATATAGCTTTCACCGTCGACGGCACTAGGCAGTGGCGGATTTACCAGCAGGCTGCGTAGGCTGGAGCCTAGGGCGGCAAATTTGGGAACCAAATATTTTTTTGCTACCTCATAGAAATCAAAAACATGACGGTTTTCTGATGTTTTACAGATAGAAGTCTGCAAATTTTGCCAATAACTTTCCCCTAGAACTTGTCATTGTACATTCGGTGTAGCAAACTTCAATATACTAGAGTAAAACAGCTAGTTCGCCCCAACCAGCAATCGACCTCTGCATATTCAGCTTACACTTTGTACGATTGAAAAGAGCGAAATTGTAGAAAATGTATTTCCCTCTTCCCCCTATCAACCCATATATATCATTCCTACTACTGGTTGGAGGCTGTGAACTGGATGATTTTTGTGCTCAAAACTCATAGGACTCATAGGAAAATCTAGGACATGACATGTAGGGAAAGAGGCGGCAAAACCTTCACAGCCTATACCTAGAAAATATGTAAATGCGTCACTGGCACTTGAAGGGATTATTTAAGGATATATTGAATTTTATTTTATTTTGAGCAGTGTTGGCCTAGTGGCTTCAGCGTGCGACTCTCATTGTGGGTTCGATTCTTGGCTGTGCACCAACGGACTTCCTTTCTAAGTGCGCATTTAACATTCGCTCGGACGGTGAAGGAAAACATCGTGAGCTTGCCGTAGACCCAAAATATCGACGGCGTGCGTCAGGCACAGTACGCTAATCACCTACATGCCTATTAGATTGACAAATGATTCTGAAACATATACAGAAATCTGAGGCCCAGACCTAAAAAGGTTGTAGCGACACAGATTTTTTTTATAGAATTTTACATAAATTAAACAAAGAAATGCATTTTTCCTGGGAATCGAAGTAGATAAATTACAAAAACAATCACTTTAATGGTATCAATCGATAGTCGAATATCACAAATTGGTTTGCGCAGTATTTTCAGAAAACTTATGTATACTTATGCAGGCAGGTCCGAATTGAATTAATTACACCAAATTCCTTTCCCAAAACAATGAAACTGCGGTCAACGACACCTGCTAAGCTATTAATTACAACCCTTGATTGTTTTCTAAAATCAAATACTCAATTTTATATAGAAAAATTTAATTTAAGTTAGGTTTGGAAGCGATAGAAAACTAAAGGCGTTAAATATGTCAAAAATACGTCTCAGGGAACCAGTCTCCCTTAAAAATAATATAAAATAAAAAATAAATCAGTGGCGGTACAACCTTTTTAGGTCTGGGCCTCAGATTTCGGTATCTGTTTCATAATCATTTCTCAATCTAATAGGCAAGTAGGTTTGGGTCTAAGGCAAGCCGGTTTCCTCACGAGGTTTTCATTTACCGTTCGAGCAAATGTTAAATGCGCACATAGAGAGAAAATCCATTGGTGCACATCAGGGTATCTAACCTATGATGATGAGTCAGGGAAAGCCACTAAGCTAACACTGCTCTCATCTCCCTTTATCTAACATTTTTATTTCTCTAGTTTCAACATAAGAACAATACATTATATTCTGTATAAAAACGTACACAAAATTTTAAATCATCTCAATCTTTATCAGTTTGCATCGACTGCCAACAGACAAAGATTGACATAGAGCTATTTGTTCTGACAATTGTCACGTCAAGAGTTAGTGTGTAACAATGTACTGTGCATTGAGCCTAACTATTAAGTGCGTGTTACGAAACGTTGTTGTAATTAAAAGAACCTGGGGCCTTAGTCAAGATGCCTAAACAGTAGTGTATGTAGAGTCGAAAACTTAATTTGTATGGAAATGACAGTTCGTGTCGAAAAATTTTCAAACAAATTTAGTTTTGACGTTCTACATACACTACTGTTAAGGCATCTTGACTAATGCCCCTTTTCCCCATGACAGTCAGTTTCATTTGGTTATGCTTTGAAAGATCGAATATAGTATAAGATCCCGCTATACAACGACCTTCACCGAGATGCTTATTTAATGAAACTTATTTTATATTTAAAGCAAATTTCAGTCCAGAGTATGTTTAATTAATATTAAAAAAAAATTTTTTTTTATAATTTGCATGTAGTACATTTTTTGAACTTTTTTCAATCAATATTTTTAATCAGGGTAGTATTATATATGTATCACTATAACCTTCTTTTATACTAAAGATGTATATATACTTTAGTGTCACATAAAAAATATACACATAAATAATTAATTGATTAAAAACAACCTAACGTTTGCATATTCTATGGGCTTCATACGTTCGATTGGTATAGAATTTATCGAATAATCATACCGGTGAAATGTTTAAAAAAATATTTTTTTTTAAATTAATTAAACATACTCTGGACTGAAATTTGCTAGGCAACCCATATGGATTATATTTATTGACATATTAAATTATATATAAAATAAGTTTCATTAAATAAGCATCTCGGTGAAGGTCGTTGTATAGCGGGATCTTAGATCCAATATTATTAAAAGGCAAATATCGATGCTTCTTAGAAACATTTGAATCATAATTTTATATTAAACTTTTTTATCTTCAAAAATTCTTTCACTTTAGTTTATGCGTCACTATTCTACGGTAACTTTTAAAGGTTTTGTACATTTCTAATCATATAATTTAGTACATTAATATTTGTATTAAACACAAGACACAGGGAGCAATTCTAAAATGTTTAACATCTTTTGTCTACCCAGATCTACGCACGCGGCAGTTTTATAATATCTCACTCAACCCAACTCGTTTGTATTTTTATTATTATTTGTATACAAGTATTCTTTTGTATGTATAAAAAATATATACTTAAATTAATAACTAACCTGTGATTGCCCACAGCTCCTTTAGGCATTCGTCCCGCGAACGTTGTATGGCTGACCGTTTCACCACCTCAGGTCCTGACTCCAAGTACTCAAACAGCACAGCACCAAGAAGAACGTATATAATAACCAAAATAACTAAGCCAATTTGCGAACACGCAGCTTTCAAACAGCCTTTTCCCGCGCGGCGTAAAAAATTTGGTCTTTCCTGTCCATCTAACGATACTTCTGAAGACATTATTGCTTATTATTTACACTAAACGCACCATAATTATTTAGGTTGCTTCACTTATTCGATATAAGATTGTATCTTATCATTTTAAAATTAAATATTCATCAGTTTCTACATACTGCATGGCCAGAAAGCCCTAGTATATTTTATTTGAAAGTAAATCTGAAGATATTCTTTATAATATTCACAACTTTGATAGATACCGTTACGGTATTAAATTATTTCCATTCCACTAAACATCGAAAACTTCTCGACGTTGGAAAGTACGCACAACCACCCTCCATTAACGATGGGGAAGCACTGACGTTTTCACGTTTGTTCTCAGTTTTCCTACACGGACTAAACTTCAACACGCCAGCGCGGTTTGGTCAGCAATTATTTGTTAGGAATGTAAATAGTAATATAATAAATTATGTAGTAAAATAATTAAGATTACTAAAGCATTCAAATAGGACAAAATATGTATATCGGGTAATTCACTCAGAAAAGTTGATGTTGAGTTGTGTGAAATGATTTACCTAAATAAAATATTTATTCCTAAAATTACTTTCTACAAACATACCCTCTATAAAATATAAGAGTGGATTGCAAAGTAAATGATACAATAACAAAAGACAATGACATCATTAAAAATTCCTTACCCTTCGTAAAGTAAAAAGCTTGGCAATGATGAAGGGTGAAGACTGACCCTTGTCTAGCATTAGACGCCGGCGGCAAATGCTCATATAAATATAGCCTTATATAAATTGACGTTTGTTTAAATGCAAAAAATACATTAAATTTAATTATTTTTTAATAAACCACAAAAGCTGAAACTTCTGTATGTAACCAAGAATTACTTTCATCGAAATTTACGATAGCTTGGTCTGACGGAATTGGATAATAATCAGTTTTAACAGTAATATGTAGGTATACCCAAAGACAATGAAGATTTAGGTACCTAATGCACGACCCGTTAAATACTGAAATTAGGTACCGTATTGATGACCTAAGACCTATGTAGTTTACGTAAAGAACGATAGATGACACTATACTAAACATACATATTTTTTTGTAAACATTTGTTTATTTTTAACTGTATCTTGTGCCAAAAACTTTATTCTTATTAAAATAATTTTTAAGTTCAACTGTTAATAACTTCGACAGTTATGTGTTGTCATATGACAATTGACGGCTATGTTTGAAATTGACGTGGTTGACAGTTGATACCGGACGGCGGGACACGCTTCGTGTTGTAGGCTCCGTATTTATTTTAAATCTTAATAATTTTGAATAAAAAATACTCTGTAATATTATTCATTTGAGTTTTCCTCCAAATTAAATTGTAAATTAGTCAAGAAACAATACCAATATGAGTACCATATTAGAAAAAATTGCTGGGATAGAGTCTGAGGTAAGTGAAATAGGTTATGCCTTTCTAGAAGTTTTTAGATGAGAAATACAATTTTAAAATCTTACATTATATCAAATTTATTTTATTAGATTATTTAATGTAATAATAAATAATATAATGTATGTATAAATAAATATCTTCTCAATTGCATGTTCATAAAGACAAAAAATAACATCTTTAAAATACCTTACAGATGGCTAGAACCCAGAAAAATAAAGCCACAGCTCTTCATTTAGGTATTTTAAAAGCTAGATTAGCTAAGCTTAGACGTGAATTGATCACTCCAAAAGGTGGCGCTAGTGCAACTGGAGAGGGTAAGTTTGTACATGTCATACATAAGTTTCTTCTCATTCAATTAAACCAAGACTTAATTTCTATACAGCATGAACTCTTAATATAAACTAAATCATACATCATTACATAATTTTTCTGGCATTTTAGAAGTATCAATAGCCTAGCTATTGACCCTATATTAGCCTAATATTTATATAATTATAGGTTTCGATGTTGCCAAAACTGGTGATGCTCGAATAGGCTTTGTGGGTTTTCCGTCAGTGGGGAAATCAACATTATTGTCCAACTTGGCTGGTGTGTATTCTGAAGTAGCAGCATATGAGTTCACCACCTTAACAACAGTTCCTGGTTGTATTAAATATAAAGGAGCAAAAATACAGGTGATTTATATTAATATTTATCCAAATCTTGCGATGGATTTAAAAGTAAAAAATATCAGTTTTAAATTATAAATGGCATATTTTATTATGACATTACTTAACATTATTTTTTGTTATAGAAAATAATATTATGTTACATAAAAATACTTTCATATAATTCTTATATTTAAATACAATATGAAGCTAGTAAAGTATATAATATAATAATAATTATTAATAGGTCTACTACGAATAAGTGTTTAAATTTAATATTGCTATTTTAACACATACTACAGTGAAAGTTACAAAGACAAACAGTTAACAACTTCATAACAATTTTCAGCTTCTTGACTTGCCTGGTATTATTGAAGGTGCTAAGGATGGTAAAGGTCGTGGTCGGCAAGTAATTGCTGTTGCCCGTACATGCAGTCTCGTATTTATTGTACTAGATGTATTGAAACCACTACAACACAAAAAGCTGTTAGAACATGAGTTGGAAGGGTTTGGCCTGCGGTTAAACAAGCAACCACCTAATATATACTTTAGAAAGAAAGACAAAGGTGGCATCAATTTGAATACTACTGTAAGTATCAAGTTACAATAAGGTGGTGTAAAGTATATTTATAAATGAATAACTAAATAACTTAATTAGTGAATTTTATCTTATGTAATCTGTCCAATCAGGCAATGAGAGTTATGGAATAGTAACAATTTACAAAAACTTGTATACCATTGTAAGTTCTGGTCAGCCTCACGAGATTTGTTGCTGTGATTAAATCGGTCTAGTGGTCAACATTGTGTATGTTATAAATTCCAGTGCCCTCAAACTGAGTTGGATGCGGAAGCTGTAAAGACGATACTCTCTGAATATAAAATACATAATGCTGATATTACGCTAAGGTTCGATGCGACAAGTGATGATCTTATTGATGTTATTGAAGGAAATAGAATTTATGTGCCCTGTATCTACTTGTTGAATAAAATTGGTAAGCCTACTTTATTTTACTATATTTTAAATTTGATGAATAACTAATCCAAATACTTCTATTCATCAGTAATTGACTCTTTATGGAAGGAAAATGTATGATAATGGGCTAAGTTCTAAGTCAGCCAGTTATTGTAATACATCCAATATCTTCTTGTTTACACTTTTGCCCTAAAATAGCTATTTTTGCCATATCAATAGTAGACATTGGTTTATCTTCCTAATTTTACAATGATTTAAAAGAATATAATATATGGTAAATAATCATAAAGTTTATCTTGAAAATAATTTTATTTCTCACTTTTATTGTTATTTATATAATTTCAGATCAGATCAGTATAGAGGAATTGGATGTTATCTACAAGATACCCCATTGTGTGCCTATTTCCGCTCATCACAGATGGAACTTTGATGATTTATTGGAGAAAATGTGGGAATATTTGAAACTGATTAGGATATATACAAAACCCAAGGGACAGTTGCCGGATTACAACTCACCTGTTGTGTTGCATGCTGATAGAACAAGTGTTGAAGATTTTTGTAATAAACTACATAGGTCTATCGTGAAAGAGTTTAAATAGTGAGTATTTCTTTTATAAATATGATGAATACAAAATTCTTTATTTGTTTAGCTATTTTAAAAAAATTTTTTTTTGGGGGGTTTAAGTTCATCGTATGCATTTAATTATATAATGACTGAATATGTATCTGCGATGTATCCTTAATCAACTTGACTGTGGGTCCTACAAGAAGTGATTGTACCAAATCTTAAAAGGCCAGCAAAGCCATTGCGAGTCCTCTAGAATTGAGAGTTAAGAGTGTTGTCCATGGGCGGTGGTATCACTTTACCTTCTACCTGTTTGCCCACCGTTCTATAAAAAAAAATCTAATCTCATTTATATTTTCAAAGATATTGCATTATCGCAATGATAAGGCATTTATTTACCTTCCTTACTTGTAATTAAATGTATTGAATTTTGATAATTTAATGGTACACAATATCAACCTGCTGGCCCCCCCATGGCTTATAAAAAAGTGCCTTTGGTCAATAATTATACAACAAATGTTGCTTCTCATATCATATATAAAATCAAGAATTGTACGCAATAAATCACATAGATTTGTAATGGCTACAAGCTCGATGTGCCTACATATAATACTTATTCTTCCAATGTTATATATTTCATATATAACTTTTCAGTGCCCTGGTTTGGGGTTCTTCGGTGAAGCATCAGCCGCAGAAAGTTGGTATTGAACATGTGTTAGCTGATGAAGATGTTGTCCAAATTGTGAAGAAAGTGTAATTACAGATGATGGTGCTAACACTGATGTACGCCTGTGTTTCAAAAACCCCCCCCCCCCCCAAAAAAAAAAAAAAACCCCACCCTCCTTTTTTTTGTTTTTCCTTTCCTTCCTTTCTTTTTTTATTCCCCCCCCGGGGGGGGAGAGGGGGGGAGGGGGGAGGGGGGGGGGGAAGGGGGGGGGATTAAAAAATTATTTTTGGGGGGGGGGGGGGGGGGGGGGGGGGTTTATTTAAAATGAAACAAATATTTTTAAGATCTATGCATGCCTGGTTGCTGTAATGGTGCTTTGCATTTATTGATACTAAAATTCAAAATTAAATAATTACATATTAGTATAGTAACATAAATTCAATTAGGTTTCATTGATCAAAAAAGGAAATACATATAGCATCATATAACGAAAACTATATTTCAAATGTCTATTGAACTTAAAATGTCTCAGACTGTTATTGACACATCAAAATGCCCATATCTACATAGATATATATATGTTACTAATGCTAGAAGGTGGAGTAAACCTAGGTTTCGTAATTAAATGTATTAAAGTCCGAATAATAAGTAAAATAAATTTAAATTCGGGTTTACCCATGCTCTACTCAACCCAACTAGGTCTACCCAACTCTGGCTGGGTAATGTTAAAAATTTGTCTAATTAATTAGTGAATGAAAATCCAGGCCATTTTAAACATTATTATCTAAAAACTACAAAATAAAAATTATTTATTTAGCAAGATAAACTGTGTGACATTTTGAGTTGCATAATTTTCCTGCAGTTTACATAGCACATTTTGTTTTGCAATTAACTTTTATAACCTGGCCTCCTAAGGACTGTTCATTTGCAAGTCTCTAAACTTTTTTTTCTGTGATTTTTTCGATATAATAGTATCATGACAAAAAACATTCCGAGAAATTTCTCAATAGTACACGTTCGTTCCTAGCTATACAGATCACAGCTTTTCTATAACTACCATAAACGTTCCAAACTCCCTCTTCCTCTATCGAATCTGTATTGACTCTCACCGTATCTCAACAGAAATGGAGGAAATTTTAAATTAGATAAGGCTTTCATTTTCTTAGCTTGATTTTCTAAGTCAATGAGTAATCTATGTTTATTTATATTTTGTTGAGTAGTACAAATTACATAAGTTTATTTCTTGTTACTTTGCCTGGGTTCATACATCTACTACACTCTAATTCGTCTTTCTTTTTGGCCGTTTCTTCTGAATTTATTTCTAATAAAACGTTCCTTTCACCTTCTTTTGTATTTAAACTTCTGTTCGATATGCTTCTATTCCTTTCTGTAATGTAATTTCTGATTCACTCTAATTTAGTAAATCTTCTTGAGATCTTCTAGATTCCGGTTCTTTGGGATTCTGGATAGATTCTTTTAGTAAATTCGTAAATTTTTCGAGTCTTCTCAGTGTGAATATGAAATAACTTCTTTTGGAAGAGAAGACGACGCTAAACCCACCTTGACATCACTACCGAACATGGCGGTATAAGAGCTCGTTTTATTCCATCGTGGAATCCCTATTTTTCATTAATTGTACGAACTTCAAACCTTCTGACCAACGCTTACAATTTTCGTCGTTCATCCACGTCATAAGCATATTTTGTACCGCTCTTGATTTGCTCTTTCCCACCCTACCTTGAGACGACTAGGCGAGGTTTGCCATGTACTATCTTCAGACCGCTCCACATCGAGCACAACTCTTCTATTACGTGATTTGCAAACTGGATTGTCTGATTGAAGAATTGAAGGTGCGCCAAAAATACAAAATATGTCCAAAAGCTTAAAAACAACCCCTACGGTCGTTTAGATGTTAAGCGCAGTGTACAAACTTTGTCAAATGATCTTGATAGACCATTATGAATTTGACGCCGTCAGGTTAGACTGCATTCAATAAATTACTTGACAGCGACTATTCATTTCTGTTGACACCAATGGTTTGACAACAATTCCTTTTTAGCAGACTTTAACTTTTTTGTGGCATAGTCGTAAATATAATTTGATTACTTCTTGAGTAATATTTTATATTTTTTTAATTCTTTTTCATTGATGTTTTCCTCCATGTCCAACAGCCAAATGAGTTTCATGCAAAATATCGAACATTTATCATTAGTACGTAATATTTAATTGTTGTTCACTTGAAGATAGAGGAGCAATCAGTTTCTCGACGCCACTTACCGAGCACAAATCAAAACGCTTCAATCGCCGGTATTGTAAAGTAGTTTTCGATTTAGCCTTTTTTCCCCCTTTACGAATTAAATTCCAAATACTTCGATAAAGTAAAAAATTAATCCTTTCCTGAGAATAATCTTGAAATTTTTATCAAAACCTCTCAAAAGAACTGACTTGTCGGTGCCATTTTCACTAAGCAAGCGGCGGCGTGGCCAGTGTTGCCAACAAGACTAATCAAAATTTCTAAACTGTTGTTAAAATTTGCAACACATTACCCAGAAGAGTTGGTAGACCTAGTGAGCATGGGTAAACCCCGAATTTAAATTTATTTTACTTATTATTCGGACTTTACCCAAAAGCTTGGGTAATACTAAGTCAACCCGAGTAAACCTAGGTTTACTCCACCTTCTAGCATTACCCGTAACATATATATGGTTAAAAAAACTTGTATAATAAACGTTATTTTATATGCATCAGAATTATTTGAGCCACAAGCTGAATACAGTTTTATCAGGGAGCGTTCAAGTATTACGTAACGAATTTGGGGGGGAGGAGGAGGGTCCTTTTGAAAAACGTTACGATGCAGGGCGGGGATTGAATTACGAGTTATTGTTAATATTATTTTCGACTTTCCAATACTTTACACTACAAATAATATAATATACTTGAGTACAGTACTGTACTTGGTACTTTGGTACAGAAAAACGTTACGGCGCGTTACATGGGGGGTCCAATAATTTCCAAAAATTGCGTGACGTTATACTTGAAGGCTCCCTCATATACACGTTGTATACTTTCGTTTAGTTCCAAATACGCCCTCAGAGCGCTGTTCTTTTTTCGTATAAATCGTTACTAATCGATGATATGTATTTTAAGTTGTGTTAGTAAATATATTATACATACAGTAGATTAAACAAAATATATTACCGATGCTAAACTTGATATATATAGTTACAAGTGTACATCAGAATTAGCACCGTTAAAACGCCACATATTGTATGAAGATTTCTTTAAACAAATTCGTAATAAATAAGTGAAATAAAATATTAACTGTAATTTTTTACATAGAAAAGAATATTCTAAAATAATTATGTGAAACTAGCTAGAAATTGCATGAAATCATGCAGTCGACTTTTTGTGAACTTAAAGTTACATGAAATAAGCAACCCCTGTAAGTGTTATAAGGATTGTTATTTGTAATAAAATTATTTAAACATACTCTTTTATTTATTACCTGTAATATCATAGGCAATCACACTAATAATAAATTATTTGGATTAGATACGTATCTCGGATTATGTATGTACCTATAAAGTTCCAACGTCAATATTAATTTTTTCGTATAATAAAAATTACATGATTACGTTAAAAGTAATAGAAATAAAACAGAAAACATTACAAACTTACAGCTGATGGTGTACTTAGTTATTAATAATCATTAACTTAAAATTGGATAACATGTAGTTACAGAACCAATCGGAAGAGATAAGTTATTTCAGGATATTCTTATTATGGTTTCTATTTCAGAATTTAGTCTATCGTAGTTATTATAGGTTCCACGAGATGGCGTTGTAATTAAATAATTTAGGGATGTGTTTAAACAATTATTATCGCTGTTTTAATAGAAAATATTAGTTTAAAACTAAATATCATATTTCATAACTTTTTAAAACTTAATAATACAATTATTTTTGTGAAATTTATAAAAAATTCCAAAGTGTCAACTAGCAGTTGTGAGTTGTGACTTGTGAATAAGTCATATGTCATTTAACAGTTGTTTTGTGCTTATTGTATAAATACTGTACCCAGTTAGTTTTTTGTATTTAAAAATATATAATAACAATAATTATTAATTAATTAAGACAGAAATTTTAAAGTTTCTGTGTTTATTAATTAACGTTTTTGTTTATTGTCAGAATAGAGGTTATAATTTCAAAGTATTAACCGTCCAAGTTTTCGGCGTTATACGATACAAGTAAGGAAAAAATGGCAATGTTTCAGAATCTATCAGCAACTCAGGTATGTACTAAAAGTAATATATAGAGACCTAAAATTATTTGAATTAGGTTTTTGATAATAAACTTTAGGCTGAGAGGTTATGTTTTGACCGCGAATTAAAAAAACCTAAATATCCTACCAATTTCTGCATAGATATCATATTTTAATTTGGCCAGAATCTGCCTGGTGGACTACTGCCCTTTTATTATGACCTACTTTGCTGGACAATACACGTAATAACGCGTCGTAACGCTAGTTCGGCGACTAAATAACTCGTAAATGTATTTCTTTCAGAAGTTGCAAGCGGCCGTACATAAAGACGTACGAGGTATTTGTACTGAAGCCTCCCACTTTCTAGGCTTGGAAATCACAAAACCAGCAATCGAAGTGATCGCGGAGCTAGTTTTTAAGAAATGCCGTGTATATGGATCAGATTTAGAGGCATTTGCTAAGTAAACTATACATATAATAAAAGTAATTTAAAAAATTAAACCGACTTGTCAACTGAATAAATAATAGTTTAAAAAAACTAAGGTTGCTCGATAGACGAAAAATATGGCACAGAGCGCCCCACGCTTTTTCACAATAATATTAGTATTTTTTGTTGATTACCATTTTCAGCCTAAATTAGGAATTATTTTTCACTTTTTAGTTTGATGTGCTTTAAAAGCGTGTTTTTTAGTTTTTTTTAACTATTATTTATTTTTTATTTAAATTTTTTTTTTTTTTTCGGATTATTGCATTGTCATCGATCTTTGACAGGTGCGCAAAGTTTGAATTAAATCTGTCCGTTAAAAGTGGGTCAAAATCGAGTCCGAAGGAGTCGGTTACATACATACATACATACATACAGGTGAAGCTAATATAAAGCGTGTAAAAAGAAAAAATATTAACAGAAATGCGTGGATTGGATCTCAAAAACTGAATAGATTTTCTTAAAACATGGACTTTTCGTTTAGTTGTAATATACTTATTTTAGATTATTACCGATTCCAACAACATTACATACAAGTCAGAGAACTTGCCTTTAGTAGTTCACAATCGTTTTTTAGTCGTAAAATTTATAAGACTATAAAGTGTTACGTTTTCGCCTAATTGTTACAAAATATCATAAAACATTCTTCTAAGTATGTTGATAGGAGATAAGTGTTAGCCTAGTGACTCTATCCCTGAAGTCGTGCGTTCGAATCTCGGCTATTTGGAATTTTCTTTCTATGTGCGCAATTAGCACTTGGTCCTGCCGTAAAAGCAACATGGTAAGGAAACCGCCATGTCTCAAACCCAAATATCGTCTACATGTGTCAGACACAGATATACAATAAAAATTATCGAAGAAACGGATGTCATGTAAAGCGAGACCCAAATAGGGTTGTAACGGCACTGGATTAGGAAGAAAATTGCCTTTTTTATTAGAGCTTTTATATGAAATTTCGTAGGTAATTTCATTATTATTAAGGCAACTTTGTTTTGTTTCAGTAAACGAATTCATCTTCGTTATTATTACACTTAAAGTGCCAGTGAAGAAGTAAATATTATATTCGTGTGTCTGTTGCATGTTTCGACCACTATTGCAAATACACTGATATTAATAGAAATATAAAATAAAAATAGAACCATATATTATTTTTATTTTCATGTATATGATGTTAGGGCTCATATTTTAATAGTAAACAATATACTATACACCTAGTGTTCATTGCATCTCAGGCATTCGATGGTCCTGGATTCGATTTATAACGCAAACATTTTGTTCAATCTATTAAATACTGTAACTAGCTTCTGTTTCAGCGCTATAGGTCTTTGTTGACGGTGTATATTACCGGTGCTTGTATTGACTGTTTGTGCCATACTGTTTGTGCCAGACAGTACAAATAAATGTACGCAATAGGCCGAAGCTCTCTAAAATTTCTTCTTTTTCCAGACACGCAAAACGTTCAACAATTAACGCTGATGACGTCAAGTTGTTAGTTCGAAGAAATCCATCTCTGGTTCGTATACCCGAATTAAAATAAATCTAATTACAGTCTTTCATCATAATATGCAATCTAGTTGGTAGGTACTATGTTAATGGTACCCAAGGGCGTCGCCAGATTGTGCGGCCAGCCTAGATAAGAAAGTACTTTTTTAATAATATTTTGTAGTATTATTATTTTAGTTACTATGTTCACATTTTTTAATTAATCGCCAAGATTACGTCGAAGTTTTAACTTGCCAAACACATACTTTTCTCTGCTGGCGGTACTTACCAAACATATTACAGTTTTCGTTTTACCTCGATTAAACTTATCTTCCCATGAATAAGTTCGTATAGTACACAAGGGTGATAATGTAATATCCACGTGCGTTCTATTTGATTAAAGACTAGACACGGGCGCATTTAATCCCGACCGTATTGTAAAATTAATCTCTTGGACTAGAGTGTTGGCCAAGTGGCTTCAGCGTGCGACTCTCATCCCAAAGGTCGTAGGTTCGATCCCCGGCTGTGCACTAATGGACATTCTTTCTATGTGCGCATTTAACATTCGCTTGAACGGTGAAGGTAAACATCGTGAGGAAACCGACTTGCCTTAGCCCCAAAAAGTGGACGGCGTGTGTCAAGCACAAGAGAACCTACTTGCTTATTAGATTGACAAATGATCACGAAACAGATACAGATCTAAGGCCCAGACCTAAAATGTTTGTAGTGCCACTGATTTATTTTTTACTTCCTATGTACCACCAGCTTTAGTTATCACGAGTAATAACAAAATACCTGATAACAGACAATAATGAATCCGTTAGTGGTTATTAAAATAGCAATTTTAATTCAAATTCGATTCTGAATCACTAACTATCCGTATGATGGAGCTTGTTATTTATGCAACCGCTGTTTTCAAGGGAAAATCACATAATTGATGTTCTCGCCATGTAACCAGCATAATGACATTTTCATTCGCACACCCGAAAGTAAATAAACAGGTGTTATATCACATAATAGTTGTTTATTCCATTACATTTGGATGATACAATACCAAGCTTATTTGAGCTTTAAGCTGCATTTTTATTTTTAAGTAGAGAGTATATTAATTACTAGCTGACCCGTCAAACGTTTGTTTTGCCTCGTATATTAGTATAAAAACATTTTTTAGTTCAATAAAAATAACTATCTACGTAGAGGGGTGAAAATGTATGTTGTATGTATTTTCGTATGCTGTATGTATTTTCGTATGCTGTATCATCAAAAATTTAATAACAGTTTTGTTCAGGTGGACACCCCTTATTACTTAGGGGTTTGAAAGATAGATAGTAGCCGATTCTCAGACATACTGAATATGAATATAAAATTTCATAAGAATCGGTCGAGCCTTTTCGGAGGAGTATGGGAACGAGCATTGTGAAACGAGATTTTTTTTAATACACCACCACATATAGTGGTACAGTATATATTACAATATATCTATTCGCAAATTCATGAAAAAGATTATATTGACAAATTGACATTATCCTTTGTTTAAAAAATTTTATATAACTTGCTAGATTTACCAAATGTTTTAATTCAAGTGAATTTTCTCTTAAAACAAGAAACATATCAGTCCTATTTGACACTTTGAGGAGATATGAGGCTGGTCCATTTTATGACAGTCTCCATGTCTTCAGGCGTTAGATGCTGCAGCCGTTGTTGTTCCGTCACTAATAACAATTGCAAAGAAATGTATTAAATTTTTAAGTTTATTGTTGTTTATTTTTATTGTATTATTTCTTTTTCTCTTTTTTGATTATAATATTTCCCTTTAAATATGAACACTTGTCATTGATGCCATGCATGTATTGAAGTTTTGTATGTCGTGTGTTCTCTTTGTATGTATGTCTGTTAGTGTGCTTTTTAAAATAAATTTATTATTATTGATTTAATGATTTAAGTGAAGACACCTTCAAGTTTCTAGTGTAGAAGTTTGTTGATCGATAACCGATATTAGTCCCAATAGGAGAATTTAACAATCTTTTGCGTGAGCGCCTGTCATATTTTCGTCACCCTTTAACTTCCAATAAACATTTCCCGACGTTTTTGTATGCAAATTCGATGTCTCCCAATATCCGTAGCGCTGATGTCGTAACCTTGGGAATGCGGAACAAAAACTCCAATCTGAAATCGGGATCTCAAAGAAGTTACAGAGGGCTTAGTAGGAACTCGATTTTACGGTAGATAAAAAAATATTTCCGACATTGTATTAGTTTTGTTTCAGTGTCAACAAATTTTATTGTCTCTATGTGTGCGGAGACACCAACATACATAACAATGTATCTATCTATAGACGTATGACGTGACGTGCAACCTTCTTTAATTTTGCAGAAATCACGCCTCCTCTCGCTAAGTTCCAACTGTGGAAAGGATAAACGAAGAAAATCAGTGCCAGTAGTGAAACAAGATGTAGCTAAGGGTGCGTCCACATCTGGCGAATGCGCCGCGAATGTGCAGCTCGCGAGCAGTTTGCTCGAGTCAAAGGAGTCGGACGTAGAAGATATGGTTGTCGATCAAATCGACCTCACTTTTGATTAAACGCTTTACTTAAAATTGTATTTTATTTGTACGAGTATGACTCTTTTTTGCAAAGGGACAGGAGACTCACCTGATGATGGCCGCCCATGGACACTCAATGCCAGAGGGATCGTGATTGCGTTGCCGGCCTTTTAAGAATTGGTACGCTCTTTTCTTGAAGGACCCTAAGTCGAATTGGTTCGGAAATACTTCAGTGGGCAGCTGGTTCCACATAGTGGTGGTGCGCGGCAAAAAGTGCCTTAAAATCGCTCAGTTGTGGAACGGCGGACGTGAGGTGATACGGGTGGAATTTCGTATTCTGCCTCGACGTCCGATGATGAAGCTCAAGTGTTAGTATTAATCCAAAAAAGTCGACTCCCTGTGTATATAAATATGGTTATAAAGAAAACAACGCCTAAATGTTGAATAATGTTTTATTATTTCTTTGATTTGTAGTAAAATGTATGTCATATTGCTGTGTGTTTAAGTTTTTCACGACGCACAAAACGACACCTAGGTATAGTTAGGGAGGCGAGGTAGCTAAATGGCGTAATTCAACGGCGCCGTCGAGACCTATCATAATCGAAAGATAAAATAATTTCGAAAAGAAAAGCTCGTATGGTAAAAACCATTTTAGCGGTGGGTTTGGCGTGTACGGTTTTTCAAAAATGTTAAAAAAAACAGTTACTTGGGTATTCTCGAGCGCGTCAGATATTCATACTACGTATGCCCCAAGTGCCTCTGATAACAACGGTATACTAATCTGCCGGTTTGCGTGGTGGGGGTAGGCATATAAAGTAGTCAAAAATGCAAAAAAAAAAATTACTCGAGCGCGTCAGATTTTGGGAAAGGGTGTTAGCGTTCCTGCACACGATGCCGTCACCGCGCCGTTGCCGCGCCGACGCCGCACATTTACTCTGTAGATACGAGTCGCGTAAAGCCCGCCGCCGCGCCGCCGCCACCCCGCCTCCGCGCGCGTTTCCTCTGTTGGATTCACTCCATTACCGGCCGCGTACGAACGAGCATGTGCGTAACTTTTTATATATATGTTACTTTACCTCAATGTAACAACCAATCTCTCCTTAGCAGATATACTTGCTCGCATATTTGTATTTGTGTGTTGCAGTTAGTTATTTAATAATTTAATAATTTACCAAATGTTTTGTAATTCATTCGAAAATAATCACAAAACTTGTCCTCGTCTTTTCGGTGATCTTCGTAAAGTGCATGAAATTCACCATATTGCTCCCGAGCCGACAGCATACTATGAACCCAAAACTTTCTAACTCGACGTTCTTTTTTCCATTTTCTATACATATAGTAAGCAAGCACAAACTTCTTTTTTGAAGTTATAGTTCTTTAGGCGCGTTATGTAAAATTTATGAGAGTGAAATTTTACGATGCGCGCGCACCGTGACACAAAATTAACAGAATGAAGTTGCCCACGGAAGATGCTACGGCATTGGATATAATTTATAAACAACATTCGAATAATAATAGAATTTATGTTACACTTAATGTAAGAGAATAATAATAAATATTTATTTATTTAATTTTTCAAATGTAAACTGAACTTTATTGACTATAATGACTCCTTTTCCAGTCTTTGATTATTAAATTGTAATTAATTATTTGCATGCAATCAAAAACTATTTTTAATAATGCCAAAGAAGTATAACTTCTTCCGCGCGTACATAAGTACACACACCCTTTTTTTTTCATTATATTAGACATGTTTGCGTCACGTGCGGTCTCGCGGCTAGCACGTTCGTACGCGGCCAGTAATGGAATGAATCAAATCAAATCAAACAGACAGGGAGGGAAAAGCGCGCGGTGGCGGCGCGGCGGCGTCGCGGTGGCGGGCTTTACGCGACTCGTATCTATAGAGTAAATGTGCGGCGTAGGCGCGGCAACGGCGCGGTGACGGCATCGTATGCAGGAACGCTTAAGTAGGCCCCAAGGAAGCTCCCTTTAAAAAATCTGACGATTTCGGCGTGACGATAAGTTACGATGAATTTTTGAAAATGCAAAAAAAAAAGTTTTTTTGAAATACTCGAGCGCGTCAGATTTTCATAGGGGAGGTTTATCTCGGTATCCTGAAAGGATATTTTCTTAATCTGACAAAAATGTTGGTGGGTTCTCTTAATATGACCGAAGAAGGTTTTTTGGTTTATTTTTTCTTCTTTCCCTACCATCAATGTTGCGAAATAAAAGAAAAGTACTGGTAGGACGGCACATTTCTGCGAAGCGCTCAGTCTGTATTACATGTTTATGGCAAATTCCTCTTTTTTGCTTCAATTCTTTACTTCGTTTTGCTTACGGTACATCCAAAAAACAATTTGAGGGTCAACAGGCTATTGAATAATATACATACATGAAACTGTACATGTTAATAATACTTTTGTATACAGATACGCGTAACTTTTTCCGAGTCCACGAAAATAACTTATATGCCGCAACGCGTTTTTCGGAAGACGAAATGGCTCCTCCACACTTCCGGTCATGCGGTAACCGGCAGATTTTGTATTTTTAGTAAGTTTTAGTTTATATTCTTCAAAATAAAAAAATCGCGCTCGACAATGCCGGATTAAAGTTTTTGTTTTACAAGTTCGCGACCCTATAACTCGGCGGCGTCAAGGACTTATCGTCAGATTAGTTAAATTTAGTCGTAAAACACTAAAATCAACCCCCAATATCCTAATCTGACGCGCTCGAATATTTCAGACTATGGATTTTTTTTTACTAATCTGATCGTCTATCCTAGGTGCGCGTCACTACATATAGATCTAAATACTTTACAAGGTTGTTCTATTAGATCTAAGGTATCTCTCATATCTTAAACTGCCACGCTCGAGTATAACCGAAAATTCTCCTATTCGCCTCCCTAACTACTACAATCAGTACGATGACGACATACTCTGAACCGCTTTAGCAAAGTTTCAACTGTTTATGATACAAACAACTCAACCTTAGCCATTGGGCTTTAGGGCCAGACAGTACTTAAATAGGTCGAGATCCTGCCTTCAGCTGACAAAGAAGAGCAAAGGTTTAACTACGACAGCTTAGCACTCAATCAGCTTACGCACTTCATCAACGTTTTCTTGGGTGACTGCAGTTTTTGGACGACCTTCACGGGGAACATCATTGAGCTTGACACGTCCACGTTGAAATTCAGCAAACCAGCGATAAATTGTGGTTTTTAATGGGGCTTCATCACCAAATGCAGAAATCATTCGGTCAACACACCGTTTTTGTGATAAACCACTTCGAAAGTCATAATAAATCATCGCTCTTGAATTTTCTCGAGTCAATTCCATTTTCTCAACGACTAAACAAGTTTGACAAAACTTTGTGAAAAGACCGAGAATATTAAAAAAAAAATGGTATTCGATAAAAAAAAGGAGTTTTCAATTAAAAAGATTTAAATATGACAGGAACAGTGGTATTATTCCATTCCCGATACTTTTAGTGCAGCCTATGTATACTGCACCAGAGGTTACGAGCGTAACAGCCGCTGAGGCCCCTTTAGAATACGAGGGTGACCCTGAACTCTCAAGCCTTTGCTTTGTAGGAACTGCTCGAGGTGGTTTGAATAGATGAGATGTGTGGGTCCCACATAACTTAGAGGGGGAAGGGGTTGCGCAAATTTATGTATATAAAAAAAAAAAATCCTGGAAGTGATCTCTTGTTAGCGATAAGACCGCCAGTTGTCCTTAGCAATTTATGTTATCTAATTGTATTGTAAGTTTTAATAAATAAAATTTCCACATTTACTGTCTTAAATGTCAGTTAAAAGTTAGTCCAGCGTTTAAAATAACGTTACAATAGTATAGGGTTAGGCAAAAAAAGCATGCTCATGAAAACTAGGTATATGGCCGAGTGTGCTGCCAAAAAACTCGTTATAACCAAACACAATTATGGTTCACGAAACAAAAGTGAAGCGGAGTCGCTATTTCTATCCAGTTTAATGATAAATAAAAATTCTTTTAAAAAATAATGCTGGACCATTCGACTTGATCCACCTTTTAATAAAAATTATAACATCTAGATTTAGAGAAGCTTCACGCTTTTCCTAAGGTTGTTTGTCTGTTTAAAAGCTATTTTTTAAGACATGCCATGATTTTCGTTATTGGATGACAAGGCAGTATACAAAATACCTTCCGTATCACTTCGACGTTTCTTAAGGCAGTTTTTGCCGCCACCACTATATGGAACCAGCTGCCCACTGAAGTATTACCGAACCAATTCGACTTAGGGTCCTTCAAGAAAAAAGCGTACCAATTCTTAAATGGCCGGCAAGCGATTGCGAACCTTCTGGCTATGGGAGTGTCCATGGGCAGTGTCAATTAACATCAGGTGAGCCTCCTGCCCGGTTGCCTCTTATTACATAACAAAAAAAAAATATATATATATTTAACTACTACTGTAGTATGCACTTTGACGTTGAAAAACTCTACATTTTGAATTAAAATATCTCCACACATTTCATGTTTCAGGTAGTTAATTACTCCTATAACGACAGTTAGAGGATAATGAGATTTTTGCAATTCAACAGTACACATTACTGGGTGTCACCTCTCACAACGTGACCCATGGGTTATTAGGTGGCATGTTAATGAATTTCATCAAACGAATTTGCAAATATTATACACAATACGAGTTGAAAAGTTCGTCTACGTGGTTCAAAACTGTTATAAATATTACTAGCATATCATCTAGTAATAAGAATTAAGTAATTTAAGGGATAAGAAGTCCCTAACGAACTAATTAAGTATATTTAAGTATACTTGGCATCGCTAGAGACGATGGCAAGCGGCTGGATGGGATGTCGTCCCCGTCGAATCCCTTAGAAGATGGTACGGGCTTTAGTATGGCAGGCTACTTGTCCTACGTTAGCCCCGTCTCATCTCCATCGCACAAGCAAAAAAGCTGGGGCGGCCGCAGAGCAGGCGGAAAATAATATACGGCTAAAATATAAGAGTCTTTCCTCCAACTTCGATTTTATTCCCTTTCATAGGCTC